ACACACACACACACACACACACACACACACACACACACACACACACACACACACACACACACACACACACACACAGGCATGACATTGGCACGGTAAGCAGCAATGCTTTCTTTCTTTAGGAAATCAGGAATGTGCTGTGCTCAGGGCCGACACGCAGCAAAGCTTTCGTCAGTCTTTGCCCCTGTGGTTCAACGTCTGGCCCCAGAATGAATGGAGGGAATCGGGTATAAACTGTCAGTTACAGTCGCTGACACGTGGGACTGGTAAACGTCCTGAACCCATGAAAACCTGCAGCACTCTGGATGTAAACATTCATGGGCCTCTTTAGTTCTTTAGGGGAAGAGGAGGCAGTGAAGATCTGATTGTTCTCTCGGGGCTGGCTGGAGGACAGGAGGTGAGATTTACGAAGCAGTCCTTAACAGGGTCCCTGATTGCATAGCTCCAGCAGGGGTCGCGGCCGGTCTTTGGGGTCACAGCTGTCATGGGTAAGCGTGCGCCTGTCATGGCCGATACAACGCAGCTGGCGTTTGCGGAAGCCTCGGCCACAGGCCTTGGAGCACACGGACCACTCTCCGAGGAGCCAGGAGGGGCAGGACTGGGAGGCGCAGGACCGAGAGGCTAAGGGACGCAGCTCCTCTGGGCAGTCTCTGGAGAGACGACCGTGAGGGTCAAGACACACCACCTCTCTCTGTTGCGTTCCTCCTCCACAGGTCTGGGAGCACGGACCCCACTCCCTCAGGCTCCACTCAGCTCCACCCACCTCTCGGATAGCGTTGATGGACTGGCGGCGATTTCCGCTGTTGTAAGAGGCTGAAGCTGCATTGTTGGGTCTTGGAGCAAAGTAGCTGTATTTAACCCGGGGCCTGGGGGCCTCTCCAACAGACAGCACCTGAATGGTGAGGGGCTCAGGGAGTGGGGCGAAGCTGCGGAGGCGCTCCAGGGTTGCGGAGGAGCCACTATAGCGCAACAGAGCCCCTCGCAGTGCGATGTCTGTCTCCATGGTCATCAGTTTGTAATCACCGTTTAGCAGATATTTTCCATCCTGGCGACGCACTGCCAAGTAGCTGTTGTCGTGACGACCAGTGCCTGGGGCACGTTGCTTAACGTCCAGGTGGGTGGCACCAGCAGGGATGGTTACAACATCCTGGTAACCAGGCCTATAACAAGGACACATAGTCGTCAAACAAGGTCATAGAAAGATCATGTGACATGTATCATGTTATGAAGCTTCACTGTGGTCAGATGTTTACCTGGCACGGTCCAGAGAGCCGGACACCTTCTTGCAGGTGGAGCCGTCTCCACCACACACGCCGCACTTGTCAAAGCGCCGGTTGGAGCCGATGACACGATCACATCCGGCCTTCACACATTGGCCCTGGACACAGACTGAAGTGGAATCAGGGCTGCAGGGCGTGCCGTCAGCCACCTGGGAGCAGCAGAGAGAAACAGATGGAAATACAGAGTTATGTCTAGTAACAGTGTTACATAAGAGTCTGAGTCAGAAGGTGAAGCATGGCTGCAGCTTCAAAGCGGAAAGAAATTACAAAGCTGATCCTGTATTTTGCAGCTCTACAACTAAATACACCTTCATGAGATTTTCTGACACAATTCTAAAAGAGAAGAATAAAAAACAACAACTCTCACCTTTGATTTGAGGACAAAGAAGTATCCAGTCCCCTTGGCGCGGCACACCAGCTTGCAGCGGTCTTTGGGGGAAACGCCAGCATACTTGGGCACCCACTCAACCCCCTCCCCTGACCCCAGTGACACTTGGGCCGACATGTCGTTGTGGGCCAGGCACTGCTCCTCGCGGAACGACAGGCCTGAGGCAGGGATGGAGATCAGATTTAGCACTGATGTTAACTTTCACACCAATAAAAGATTTTTTTAATGACACAAACGTATCCATGTTTGTTCGTGTGATAACTAAAGTCTCTTACCGTTGTTCTCAGGACAGGCCTCTGTGTTACAGGAGCGGTACTGGATCCTCTTGCCCTCACAGTACTTGCCCCCGTTCTTGGGCAAAGGGTTGTCACAGGCACGGAAAGAATATTGCACTCCTCCACCGCAGGTCCGAGAGCAGTCGCCCCAGGGGCCCCACAAACCCCAGCCACCGTTGACAGGAGTCTGAAAGCACCAAGGACATAATTATAAGACTTAAACATTGATTTGTCCAACAACAGGTAAAATAGACTGATTGTGATCTGCTCCCTACCTGGTGTTTAGCAGCTTGGCTCTTCGTGAGACACTCTCCGGCCAGGCAGTAGCTGTCGTGCCCACATGACGTGCCATCAGCCCAGGGGAAGTTCTTGGTCTGACACACCAGCAAACCATTGGATGTGGTCACCGTGCACCAAAGAGCTGCGCACGTGGTGCTCAGGTCCGGGCAGTGCTGGGAGTCCTCGCCGAAGGTGAGTCGGCACTGGTGGTCGGCGTTGTACACTGTCCCGGGCAGGGGCTGGGGCAGCGGCTGAGGCTTGACCGGCTTGTCTAGCAGGCATTGGCCATGGCCGTTGTCCAGGAACGTGGTGACCATGAGGGCGGAGCAGGGGGACCACGGCTGCTGCTGGTCCAGGTTGGACAGAGTGGAAGCCATTATGTGGGAGCCCCAGTGGGCGCCGTTGACCCCGGAGCAGAGCTGGGCATCGTCGTGAGGCATGTTGAAGACATGGCCTGGAGGACAGACATGAAATAACAAAAGTTTGAGTACCCCTGCCCTGCAATTTTAAGAAAGTAGAACATGTGCATGTAATTTGACTCTTTTCTTCTTACCCAGCTCATGTGCAACAGTAAAAGCTGCCTGAAGCCCATCATCCTCGATAATGGAGCAGCTTCTGTCAGGGTCACACACTGTGCCAACATCCGCCATGCCCAGAGTGTCACAAGAGTGGGCGCCACACAGATCCTGAGGAGACAAGGAGAGTTAAAGTCTTGAATTCTGCTTTTCTTACTCTTCTCTTATCATCTGGACTCAAACACATCGACAACGTACTGTTCTGGTGAAGAGCACGGCGGTGTCGTAGTGCTCTGGATGGCGGTCACTTGGCGGGTTGTGCTGCCGCTGCCACTGGCAGAAGTTGCGGAGGGTCATGGCAGCGTTGGACGACACCTGAGGCCCTCGCTCCTCCTCGTACACCACCAGCAGCTTCACCACCGCCAGGCTGATGGAGTTGTGGATGCTCGAGTGGCGGTAGAGTCGTGAGGCTACTGCCATGATCGTCAGCAGGTAGGGTTTGAGGCCGGCGCCGTGGAACTCAGCCATGGACTGGTCAGCCACCAGCATGATCTCCAGGTAGCGAGGGGTGGAGACGAAACGCCTGGTCCTATGGTGGGCTGAGGGGGGAGATTTACAAGAGGTCAAACCAAAGGGCGGGTTCAAAGGTCATGCAGGATACAGTGTGTGTGGATCCAAAATTTATTGCACTTGTTATTTTCGACAGTAATGTTTATCTGGAACAATCTGAGCTCAGCTAAACTCTGCCTGTGTTCTAAGTAACAGCTAATCATTTTTTTTTCATCCAGGCTCAAGTGAGCTCCGGATGTGCCTGCGGGAGCCTGGCTGCCGAGATTCAGCGTCACACCACCGGCGGTTCCTCCTCCTCGGCGTCCACATTCCTAAAATGACCTTATGTGGTGGAAAGTTTTGCGGGTGGGAAGGAAAAGGGCGAAAGGAGAAAATCCTTTCTGGAAGAAAAAAAAGCTCCTGCCGGTGCGCGTAGTACCAGGAGGCGCGTTTACACGTCTCAGCACCGCCGGGCTGTGGCTGGCCCCAACCCCGCCGCTCCCCTCCCCTTCCTCCGTCACTCCTCCCTCTCTTTCCGACAGTAGAAGCTTTCCCCTCCCTCCCTTTCTACTTCTCTCCCCCTTCCTCTCCTTTCCTCCTCATCTCCAGTGCGCTGTCAAAAAAGGTAGCTGAGTCCATTACGCACGCTGCGCCCTCTGGCACACGGACGTCTCCAGATGACAGCTGCTAAACTGCTAAACAACTTTATCCAAATGTTTGCATACATATAGATAAAAAGATTTTAAATTGATATTGATTTCAGCTGTGACAAATAATAGAGCGTAAAATGCGCACAGTGTTTTTGCAACCTCACCTGTTGGCTCTGCGTTAGCGGCTCCGTTCTTCGCCTCTTTCTCCAGATTCTTTGGCACCCGCTCCTCGTCCTCGTTCACCCCGCACTTGGAGCTGCCCTCCTCCGCCAAAGCTGCTCGACCTCTCCGGCGGATCGTGTGGACATCCTCCTCGGTGCCCAGGAAGCCGCTGGAGTTGAGGGGCTGGATGAAGTATTCTTCACCCTGGAAGTAGAATCCGCCCCTGAGCCCGTGGCACAGGTTGAGGGCAGCGGCGGACCTCTCCTCTCCGTTCACGGTACCCGAGAAGAAACACCCCGGTTCGGCTCCGTTCTTGGGCTCCTGGGTCGGTTCGGAATCGGGACTGCCCACAATGTGGAAGACAAAACCCGGCGCCAAGAACGTCTGGTCTGGTTCTAGCTGCAAGATCAGCTCAATGCCAAATACGTCCAACCGGTACACCCTCATCTCCGCCTCCTTCTCCTTCTCCTCCGCGGATAGAGTCCGCCACGGTTCGTTTTCGGTCTCCGACCGGGCCGTGGGGTCTAGTCTGACCGGCACCACGGTACTCTCCTCCCAGGCGCTTTGTGCCGCGCCGACGCACAGAATTAAACCAATGGAAACGCGTAAAAACCACATAATTAAACCGAAATCCGACAAGTGGAAAATTGAAATTGATGAATAAGTTTCTACGAGAAACCAAGTAAATCCTTTAAAAAGCTTTTTTTTAACTATAATCTACAAAACCCAAAGTCTTTGAACCTCCACAAAATTGTCCACACGCGTACAAAATTCTACAGAAGGATCAAAATCCAGTGCAAAACTCATTTAAAGTTACGTGCAGCTCTGACTTGTTACAAAAAGTCCGTTCAATAGAAAGTAGGAGCTTGATCTCAGCAGTAAATTCCAACAGAGTCTCTCCCTCTTCAGCAGATGTCTCAGTTTTCAGCTCTGTGTTTCTCTGAGTTCGGGGCAGGCTCTTGCTCTGCTGGCCCGTGTAGTCTGTTCACTGCTCTCAGAACAGAGACGTTCCCTCCTATATATCCCCCTGCCCTGGGACCACCCCTTTCCTGAGGGCCCTTTGATGTGAGAGGGGCCAAATCCCGTGCGCAATGAAAACGCACCAGCGCCCTGGAGCGTTGCCATAATAATAATAATCAATCATGGTGAGTATACAGAGGTTTTGGCAGAGAAACTTCTTCTTTTTCAAACTCTACTTGTCTGTTACAAGATGTTCACACACACACACACACACACACACACACACACACACACA